AAATTTATATCACAAATATATATTTTTTAAAATTTAATTTTATAATATGTACTATATAAAGTCCTATCAATTTTTTTTTAAAAACTGAAGTTTCCTTCTGGTGAATTGCCTAAAACTTAATAAATTATGCCAACAGTGATATTACTATGTTTGATAAGTAATATTGTAATTAAAGCCTAAAATTTTGGGTAGTAATTAACATAAAGTCCGTAGCAACAAGACAGCATACACTTCGGACTTGGAAATCATAAAAGAAATTAATTCTCAGTCAATTAAAGGGCTTTTAAATCTTAAGTTAAATTCATATTGGTGTTTTTTATTCAGAGAAACAAATAACTTTTACTTGAGGATTCAAACAGACATATAACTATATTCTCATACATAATAATATTAAAGCGAACAGTGCCATTTCACATTAGCAAGGCTGGTAGCTTGTAAGCCTACTACTTGCAGGCAAAACAATATAGTATAAACTACAAATATTGCTTATACAGTCGCATGTGTTGGTTACACATTCTTGTGCTATTTGAAATGTATGGGGAAAAACATTTTTTCTAACCAATATAGTAAATAATCGTCTATTTTGGTATGATACTGGTTTAACATTTTAAATTGTTTACTTTTAATTAACATTTTTAAAATTTCCAGTTGATGGGAACAAAATTGGAGGAAAAATCGTCTCGGGTTCCCACATAACTTATGCATTTAAAGTGATGAAGCACTTTATTTAATTTTTTAGCCTCTTGTGGGTCCGCATCGGGTTTGTTTCCAAAAATGATCAGCTTACTTTGAAACGTTAGAGCACCATACAACCTCTTTTCAAAATTCCAAAGCTGGGCAAGAAATTTAAATTTAACATTCCCTGTGTCAGATGAATAAAGTACCAGCCACAAGTTGCCATTTCTTTGTAAAATGTAGTCATGCTTGTCATTTTTAAAATTAATCAAACTTTGGGCTTGTCCTTCTAGATTGTCTAATCTGGTCCAAACTTTGGAAGAAATCGCCAGTTTATAAACAATGGTCTTGTCAAATCCAATTTCGGTAGGCTTATCAAAACAAAACAGTAAAATAATATTTTGAAGAGACATTGCATGCGTAACAAAAGTACATTTTGGAAATTCTGTAAATTTATTTACACTGGGTATTTCCTTTTTAGGATTTATTTGATATATTATTTTGTCATCTTTGTTTAGTATATAAATAAAGTCCCCATGAGACACTAATAACACATTATCACTTGGTATTCTCGTCACATTTTTCAACTTATGATGAGAATAGAAAAACATTAGAGACCTAGATGATTCATCACCACCGGTAACACATAGCTCACCATCAAAGGTGACTAACTGAATATTCATTAGTCCATCACAATCAAAACTAGCAAACACTATTTCATCGATTGCGCTTCTTACTTTGATCCATCCATTAAATTTGGCATAAACGCCAGCAAGTATGTACCCACTACAGGATCTAGTAAGTGCCGCTGACGGACACTGGCAGTGTCTAAAATCTTTAGCGTTATAAGATAAAGCATAGTCGATGATATCTCTTGAATCTTTATCTGCCAATAACAAATCCATTTTGCGTACCCTGGATAACAGTGAAGGGCTTACAAGGCATGTCCTTACTTTTTTAAACAATTTCTTCAGATAGACTTTCCTGGAACCTATTTTATCTAACATCACGTTTATACTTTGTCTTTCATTTGTGGAAGTATCTTCATGTGATTCTTTAGTATCTTCATTTCTCTCATTCTTCACTTTAGGGTCATACGTGACCCATCTAATCACAGACTCCATGACCAGATCTTCACTGCTGACTACGAGGTCCTGACTTTGGATTAGATCCCGTAGATCTTCAAATGTGAGTTGTAGAAATGTTGGTGAACTACAAACGGCGTTAAAGTTCTCCAACATGAATTGATGAAGGCTGGTGATAACACTTTTGGCCTGCAAACATACGGCAACATTGTACAATGTTTCCAATGTTTCGTCTGTAATATTTTTATTAGCGAAATGTTCACACATTTGAATAATTGTCTGAATCTGTAGCTGATGGGATGCTTTCCACACATCGATATAATTCTCTGTTGTTAAAAGATTGGCACCGGTATATACCGTTTCCAAGATTAATTGAAAAACTTCTGGAGAAATGTTGTGAAGAGTGATGATGTTCTCGTGAACTTCTTTCATCCCTGATCTGAAAAGTGCCGCGAAAAAATCCGAACACATCGTAAGAACGAGCCGGTGGCATTCGAAAGTTTCGTCTTCAATTTTGACAGTGAAATCAAACAATAGTTTGTCAGTCCACACAGACTCTAGGCTTTTAAACAAACTGTTACGGAGATCTTGTGCATTCATGATGAGAAAACCTGAAAGTCACAAGAACCTTTCAAAACATATCTTGCTTAAACTTATTTTATTTTATTTTTACAATGTGTAAACAGTGGCCTAAAGTCTTGTCTACATGTAATTAGATGCACTTACACATTATTTTAGGCAACGAATTAAAAAATAAGAAAAATATCTTTCTAGAGGAAAAGAATGTTTACTGAAGTGTTCAAAGCATCAAACGCGTTTTCCTCAGATTTTTTAAACTTTGATATCATATAACCTCGAAATTCAATACCAAAGTCCCAAAGGAAACTAAAGCATCAGCTACTGAGTAAATCAAATAATGTTCAACATCCGAACTTAACCCTTCCGGGTAAATTAACTTCCACGATAATTATCCATTTTATAATAAGCCAAATTGTACAGCCTAAAATCTGTCCTAACCCAGTTAATAATCCCATACTTTAACACCAGTCCTTAATCCAGTAGTCTCTGACAGGATTAATGAGAGTGCGCTAATCCTTTTTGTTAAGATGGACGGAAAATTTGCTTAAAATGTTGTGTTTTAATGACACAACACAAGCATTGCTATTTTAACTCGTTTGATTCTATTCAATATGAGACAGGATAGTCGTTTTTGAATGTGGCCTTAGGTCTGTAGGACAACACAAAGTCGACCCAGTTTTATTAAGTACCTGTCTTCTATACGAGCTTTGTAACTATTTAGTCCTGAGCACAAAATATCGACGTAATACTAAATACACATAATAACATGAAATGATTCTAACCCCGTAATTAATAGGCATGATTTTTTAAATTAATGTTGACCACAATAACTTGTTATAACGTTGACCTGAATAACATGACAACATAGACGACAATAACTTGACAAAATGCTGAACAAACTATAACGTAACATATCGCTAACCACAATAACTGGACATAAAGCTGACCACAATATTTTGATATAACGCTGACCACAATAACTTGATATAACGCTAACCACAATAACTTGATATAACAGTGACCACAATAACTTGATATAATGCTGACCACAATATTTTGATATAACGCTGACCACAATAACTTGATATAACGCTAACCATAATAAGGTGATATAGCACTAACCACAATAACTTGATATAACAGTGACCACAATAACGTGATATAACGCTAACCACAATAACCTGATATAACGCTAACCACAATAACTTGATATAATGCTGACCACAATATTTTGATATAACGCTGACCACAATAACTTGATATAACGCTAACCATAATAAGGTGATATAACACTAACCACAATAACTTGATATAACAGTGAACACAATAACTTGATATAACGCTAACCATAATAACTTGATATAACGCTGACCACAATAACTTGATATAAAGCTGACCACAATAACTTGATATAACGCTGACCACAATAACTTGATATAACGCTGACCACAATAACTTGATATAATGCTGACCACAAATATCTTGATATAACGCTGACCACAATAACTTGATATAATGCTGACCACAAATATCTTGATATAGGGCTGGTAAGTAGGTCACCAACCAGTTCTATACCTCAATAAAATGCATGAGCCATAGAACTGGTTGGTGACCTACTTACCAGCCCTATAACGCTGACCACAATAACGTGATATAACAGTGACCACAATAACTTGATATAATGCTAACCACAATACGGGATATAACAGTGACCACAATAACGTGATATAGCACTAACCACAATAACGTGATATAACAGTGACCACAATAACGTGATATAGCACTAACCACAATAACGTGATATAACAGTGACCACAATAACGTGATATAACGCTGACCATAATTACTTCGCACACAGAATTTAAAAAAAAGAACAGACCTGCCCCATTTACGCCGGAATACTTTAATTTATTCAAAATTCATCTTTAACTTTGTAGATAACTTGTTTTTTTCTTTAAGATCGGAAGTAAATGAAAATCTCGAACTAGATCTAGATTTTATATGACAACATACCATAAGCGTTCTAGATTGGTGCCAAACAACGCTCAATTTTGAGCTAAATAAAACGCGCAAATAACTAACCAATTAATTTCAACAAACAAAACTTTACTAATTTGGCCTAAATTATTTAGTTTTAGTTATACGCAATAACTTTTGTAAATAAATATTGCAAGAACAGTTTCCTGAAATTAACATTGACCTTTTCTTTTAAACTATCATAATGTAATTTGTAAAAATAATTTTAAAATCAAACATTTTAAATCTTTTAATACGTACTGGTAAACATAATATATTTGCATGTACAATTAATAACATTTTTTAATAGACATATGAAAAAACTATTCGATATCATTTATCAAACAAAAGAATAATCTATATTCAAAAAGTGCCCTACAGTAACAGATTGTATAATTATATTAAAGTGATGAAATATAAAGTTGCGTTTTTACAAATATGATTGCCTACATTTATTTTTCTTTAAAAAATAATAATGTGTTCAATCTGTAGCTTTTTTTAGAGCTTAAGATTTTTACAACCTTATCTTTCGAAAGGATTTTAAAAATACACATAAATCTGATTAATCAACTACGTTTCATTAATTAAAAACAAATATAAACAAATGTAAGTTTTATTTAAATTATGTTATGAAATCATTGCTCTTTATGTTATTGGAAGCAAGAATTTTTTCGACAGCGTAATGGGAATTAAATTAGAACCCAATTCATCCATTCCTAAATGTGAAATGTTTAGGAGCACATCAGTAACCACAGAGAGTTGATGCTCATCTGGGGGGTCCTCGGCAGGGTTGTTTCCAAAGATAATAAGTTCACCATTGTAAGTCACTGCTCCATACAGTTTCTTCTCAAAATTCCAAAGTTTCGCGATAAACGTAAATTTAATTTTCTGGTAAGAGTATAAGAAGTTAAGCCTCCACAAGCTGCCGTTGGTTTGAAGTATATAGACGTTGTCGTTGATGGTGAAGTTAATCAGCTGTTCCGCTGGTCCATCTAGAGTGTCTAATCTAGTCCAAACATTGGACGAAATGTCCAACATAAAAACCGATGTCTCGTCGATGCCGTTGTGAGTTTCAGAACAAAATAGCAAAAGTGAATTGGAATAAAACATGGCATGCTGGATATCCGCTTCACCGGGTAGGTCTGCAAAAGTCTCCATTTTCCGTGACATCATCTGTGGTTTAAAGTTGTATATTTTCTTGTCGGTTTTGTCCAAAATGTAAATGTAATGTCCTTGTGAAAACATCATCAATGCATGGTTTGGATTAGGCATTGTCATTACTTCCTCCCAAACGTCACCACAAAAAACAAACATCTTACAAGTTCCGTTTTGACGATTGTCTTCCTTCCCTATTGCATATAAATTATTATCGAAAGCTACTAATTGAATTTCTAGTTTTAAAAAAGCACAATCTGCAATACTTTGCCATTGTCGTGTGGATAAACACATTAGCTGAAATTCTCCAGCATTTGTAGCACACACACCGAAATGTGAATATTCACTATTTGATCTGTGGACAGCTGACGAAGGCCACTGTCCGTGTCTGAAATCCAATACATGGTAGGACAAAGCGTCGAAAATAACAGCTTTTGCATCGTTATTTTCTGAGAAGATTTTATACTTGAAGACCCGTTTAAGAGTGGCTGGACTTACAATACAAGTTCTAACTGCAGTTAGGAGTTGTGTCAGGTTTTCATTTCTTGATATCTTTGACAACTCTTCTTGATCTTTCCCAGAATTTTCAATTATCTTTTTTTGTTTCCTCTCTTTTCTCTTTACTTCGCTTCCTGGAGTCGTGGATTTATTGACCTTTTTGGAATTAATGTTAGAATTGACACCTGCCATGGTGTAGTCTTGATCCAGTTGAGGAACAAACTCCACCCACTTGACAACAGCCTCCAACACCAAATCTTCACTGCTGACTATCAGATCCTGAGATTTGACCAACTCATGAATCTCGCTGTAAGAAAGATCTAAAAATGTTTTATCGAGACAAACTCGGTCGAAGTTTTTCAACATAAACGAATAAAGCTCTTCAAGAACATCCGCAGAGTCTAGAAGCTTTGCATTTGTGTAAGTATCCTGCCACGTTTCTGCTGACAGTGTTTTTATAACAAAGGTTTCACATACCTTGACCATGAAACTTATCTGAAGCTGATTAACAGCTCGCCAAACTTCTAGAACATTTTTTGAAGTCAGAATGTCAACACCGGTGTATAAAGATTTTAAAATTAACCGAAAAACGCGACATGAAATTCCTTGTAAAACAACGCAGTTCTCTGTGACCTCTCTCATCCCTGAACGAAAAAGTGCCTGGAAGAAATCAGAACAGGCCCCTAGTATGAGTCGATGGCAATCGATCGAGACATCATTGATCTTGACGATAAAATCAATAAGCTGCTTCTCTTTCCATACGTTTTCAAGTGACCTCACCACACCCATTGATATTTCTGACATAGTCATCTTGAGAGCACTGCGATTTCAAATCTATAAGAAAGAATAATATACTTTTGAAATTTTCATCAATCAAGTAAATTTAAAGCACCTCATATGATGATGAGGGGAGGCCGTGGTCAAGCGATTGATTGCTTACAGTAACAAGAAAGTATCGAGTTCGGATCCCGTTTTTCAAACATTCGACTGTAGTTCACACATGAGTACACCAATCCTGATGTATACCACACTCACGCTAGGGAAAGTACAGGGGAATGTGCATAGTGCTGACCACACCGCCACTTGATATTTCGGGATCAAGAATCATGAGCTCTGTCTGACCTGCTTTATGAATCGTCAAGTTGAAAAGGGGAACATTAGTTGTTTTTTTTTTAAATACTTTGATAATAATTCATATAAATACACATTTAAATTTCAGAATTAAGTGAAATTGTTGAAGATCAAGCACACAACAAATCTCAGATGCATATTTACCAGTAAGTAAAGGCTTGTGTGATTGTGAAAATAGCAGGGGCTATTATTTAAAAAGGTGTAAAAAATATGTATATGTGGCCTCGGGGTAGAGCGCTAGAATGCTAACCCGAAAGTTTTCGAATACGGGCCCATGTTAGTAGAACGTCCCTGGGTGCACCAATTTTTGCTGAGTACCTAACACATGTTTGATAAACTAAAGACCGCTGGGCATAGCAGAGGCGTAGCGACCCTTCCCGGCGCCCGGGGACAAACTTTTCGATTTGCACCCCCCCCCCCCCGCCATCGAGATTCCCACTTGCACCCCCCTCCCCCTCAAACTTTCGATTTACACCACCCTCAACCTTTCAATTTATCTTTCCAACCCAATTTGGCGCCCCCTAAGGTCGGCGCCCGGGGACATATGTCCCCCCCCCGCCCCCCCCCCCCCTCGCTACGCTAATGGGGTATAGTGCTGACCACACTATCCCATTAAATGCCTAGGTGAACTCTACTTCCCTTGCACTTTCGAAAAGGAAACCATTATACTGTGCCGATATTTAACTGTTCACTTGAGGAAAATAATAACTGCTCTCAATTATATACTGTTTACCATAACAACTATCTAAACTGGCTAACTCAAATACAATCTGTAGTAACTTACTGCGCTTTCACAGCATATAGGTATAGGAGATTTGTATGAATTTTTATAATGCAAAGATAATGTAGGTAAATGCAGTTGAACATCCTATTCGATTCGGCTACATAGTACGTTTTAATGTGTTTCTTTTTATTCATATACATATATATATATATATATATATATATATATATATATATATATATATATATATATATATATATATATATATATATATATATATATATATATATATATATATATATATATATATATATATATATATATCGCTAGTTGCACGAAAATAGAAAATATGACGTCACTGTTTCAAAAACCTTTCGTTTACAAAAAAAAAAAAAAGATTCCGTCAACAGCCGTCTATGCATAGCGCTACAAACGGCTTTAAAATAGAATAGACATCACGTGATTCTGTGACCCGATTTAACTGTAGACCCTAGTCGGAACGAGTGGACGCGGCCGCTTACTACAGATTAAATTTTTTTTTCAAGAACCATTTTCTAGATCTAGATCTAGATTCTAGATCCCATATGTCAAAGCAAATGCCACTTAAAAAGGTAAGTTTTCATAAATTGTATTAAAATATTTAAAAACTCGGACTAATTCTGTTTTTGCTAGGATTATTTTATTATCATTTTTTTCTGCTCAAGTCTATTTTTTTTTTGTAATATTTATTTGACACTTTAGTAATTTAGTAGGCAATAGATCTAGATCTAGATCTAGAATCTAGATCTAGCATACAAAATGAATTTTTTAGTATTTTATCTTAAAATCATATGAGTTAGTAAGAGGAAGGATTAAAAATTCCATTGGTACCAAATTGATATTTCTAGCTTTAATAGGAGAAGAGAAATAATTATTTTTCTATTTAAAATGAATGGTCTTATATAAGCTCTGTAAAAAATGAAACAAGTAGGACACAAAAATGAAAATTGTATAAAATATGTTTTCAAAATTTTTTTGAATTCTAATGATAAATTATGAATCAGGGGTGGTTCCTTTGTGTACATTTGCATTAATAATTGTGCAGGCTTGTTTCTGTTTGATGTTAATTGTTATGCTTTATTTTTTAAAAATGTACATTTTTACTATGATTAATTATACAGGAAAAAACAACGTGGCTGATAAAGGTCTGAATCTTAAAAAATTCATAAAGAATGTATTTATAAATAAAATCAAAATTTCTTTATAAAATAAGAACCACAAGTGGTTTATTTAATTCATTTTGTATAGTTTTGTGTGCAGGCAAGTGTTTATAAATTACAAAAAAGTAAATTTAGAGCATATATTGTTTTCAGATTAGTTTTATTTAAGGCAAAAATGAAAGAAAATGAAAAGTAATTGCGCTAGGTTATAGCTGAACCTCAGGGAATTTTGAAAATGTAGTTACTTTGTGTATTGGAAATTAATATGATATTAATTTAAAAAACAAAACTTGAAAAATCAGTCTAGAGCTCTGTATGAAAATTATCTGCCTTTGTTCTAATGCTATTAGCAGGCGACAAACTTCATTTTACAAAATAGTCTTTGAATGACACTATAACTATATTTATATGTTTAATATTATTAAAGTTCATTAACTTTATTTTTAACCCGATAATCAAACCCAGAAAGAAATTGGCAACAGTTAGTTAGTTTTTTTTTTTTTTTTACAGAACCTTATATGTAGGAATAAACACACCATGGCAACGCCACTAACTGTGAGAAAATAAAACAACCGACAACCTACACAATAGCTGTCTGCTGTGAGTGAAAAGACAATGACAATGAATGAAGCTGCAACATGTACACAAGGATTTGATATGGAAGTATCTACCAAACCTTTATGTAGAAAGAAGTGCTCACAGTGTTGTAAAAAAGACATTTTTTAAAAAAATATTTGGAAACCATAAAAAAAAACCTTAAGGAAAGGAACCAGGAATACAAAAACTGTACAAATTAGACATTTGAAAAGATCTCTAAAGCTAAAGCAAAAAGAAAAATCTGTCACAAATTGGAAAATCAAGTGTATGGAAAAAAAAAGAAAATGCAGATGAAAAAACAAAAGCAACAAGAGGTTTTAAAAAAGAAATTATGTTTTTAAAAATAAGAACACAAAATTAAGAAGCAAAATGAAACAATCATTGTTGAATCACAAAATGATCATTGGCAATAAGCAAGTAGTCATTGAAAACTTTAAAAAAAACAATTTAGTTCTATGAATATGCAACTAAGTAAACTTCTGGCAGATCATCACAATTTATTTCATCTATACTTAGAGTTAGAGAACAAAGATGAAAACATAGAAACAAAAACTGGCAATAGGTATTGTCCAAAACTTAGAAAATTTCTAAATCATTGTTAGGTCATTGCCCAGTTAGAGGAGCAGGTGAAATTTTACAATCATTTTCCAGCACAGTGCATAACACAAGTTTAGATAATGTAGATACATTATACATATATATCAAGAATGATTTATGAGCCAGCAGTTCTATATTTAATACAAATTGGTGTAGCCATAAGGAATCGTCGCGCAATGAAATATTATTTCATGCAACTACTACAGGGGAGAAACATATAAATGCTTTTAGTATTTCAACCAAACAGGCTAGAAAGGATTACACTATATCCTCACAAAGAGTGGCAGAGGGAAAAGCTTATGATTCCTCTACAACAATTTTATCTGCATTGAGAGGAGTAGGTTCACTATTTTCTGAATTTAAAAAGATCTCTTATATTGATTTTACTGAAAATTGTCAACAAAAATGAAAAGTGTTTTAATCAGATGGAGTGCCTGTAAATAAATGTGTCTGACAAATGTAAGAAAATGATTTAAATGTCCAGTTGATTAAATAAATATCCAATACTCATTCCTGGGACACAATAGCTTCACAATGTAGAAAATATCTTTTAAAACTGGACAAAACTATTGGCATAACATCAGCATGTGGGAAAGACTGTGCTGCTGTCTCATTTTTATGTAATATATCAAAATTAAGGTAAGAGAACTGTTTCATAAATAAAGACATTATTAAATATTATGTTTAACAATATTTAATAACTATCATATGCTTTTTATCAATTTTTTTTAGAGTAGCATTACTTACAAGAACTTTATTTTCCAGATACAGTTCAAAAATTGAAGTAGCTGCATTTAAATTGTTTTTAAAAGACAACAATGTAACACCTAGCAGCTTTGTTAGATATGTGGGAAATAGGCACCATGTGCTATTTTACATGGCAGGAGTACTTATTAAATATGAAAAACTATTAAAGAAGTTATGTAAAAGGTATTCTCCAATATTTCTACTAAAACTAGTGTACAATTAATTTGCTGTGTTTAAAAATTTTTAATGTTGACACCACATTTTAATTATAAAATAATATTCTTGTTCACAGAAATAACCACAATAACATTTGTAACAATCTGTACAAAGTTTTAAGTAAAGAAGACTTGTTATTTAAGGTACAAGCTCTTGGGTTAGTTGGAAAAGTTATTACTAGGCCTTGGATGACTCTTTTGTACAAAAATGCAATGGGCAGGACAAATTTTCAACCAGTATGTGCATTGTTTGCTAAATTGATAAATTGTATTTTATACTTTATTTTTTTACAGAGCCTAAAATTTCAATATGCTGTTTGTATGTTGGAGAAATTGATTGCTAGTCCAGTGCTAATTAAATGCCACACAACAATATTTGAGGAAGTCTCCCTCAGACATGATGATGTCCATGCAGCACTTTTGAATAGGGCACATGACAGTGTTAAACTAGAAAATATTTTGTCTTGTTTGTTGCAAGAAACTCTTGTTGTTATAAAAAGGCAGATGTTCATTTATTTATCTGATCCATCTGATGAAATTCTCGAGGCCACCAAGTCTGTCTCTCCACACAATATACACTGTGAGAGAATACTAGGAATG